GCGCAGTCCGCATGGCGGCACCGCCCCATGTGGGAACAAACGTCACACGTTTCGTGGCCCCATAGGGAGCTCCACCTAAGGAGTTGCGCAGTCCGCGTGGCGGCGCCGCCCCATCTTGGAACACCCATCGCACGTTTCGTGGCCCCATGTGGAGTTCGGAGCTCCACCTGAGGTCCTAGTGGCGCAGTCCACGGGCACGCGGCAGCTGGCACTTCGGCGTCGCAGGGGTATGGTGGCCCCCAACACCCTATGATGCTCTTTGTATTGGGCGTCTCCGTGGGGCCCTTGGCCTTCGACGAAGGGGCTCGCGTTCTTGGCCCACGTTCTGGTGGCCGTGCTTCGACCGTGCCATGATGTTACACACTGTCTTGCGCAGCGTGCCTGCTTGCCGCGCCGGATGTGGTCGAGCCCCGTGTGCCGCCATGTTGTCTCCATTCTCTTCCCGCCCTGTGCGCGGCCGTTCCGTGTCCATTTTCCGTCTCTGCTGCTTGCTTCCCCCACGCAGTTGTTTTATACATTGTTTTGCGTAATTAGCGAGCCTGCTTGCCACGCCGAAGGTGGCCAAGCCCCGCTCGCCGCCATCTTGTTTCCATATCCTTCCTTGGTATTTGTCCTTGTGCTGGCCCCCTCCTTCATCTCACCTGCATCGCGATACTCGCAGCTCCCCCTTCGCCTCCTCCTCTTTCTCCACCTCTTCCTCCTCCTCCTCTTGATCCTCATCCTCCGTCCTCGCATCCTTGCTTTGTTCCTGCGCAATGCTATGATCATCGCCATCATCGCCATCATCGCCGCTCGCCCCTCGCACGTTTCGTTGCCCCACAGGAAGCTTCACCGAAGGCCCCAGTGGCAGTGCCCGCATGGCGTCCCCGCCCCATTTCGGCACATCCCTCACACGTTTTGTGGCCCCATAAAGAGGGCACTACATCAGGCCCCAGTATCAGCGCCGGCATGGCGGCCCCGCCCCATTTCGGCACACTCTTCACGCTCTTCGTGGGCCCCATAGGGAGATCCACCGAAGGCGATGCTAACAACGACGGCATTCACAACCTCATATGGTTGGGTCCTTCGC